ATTATAACATACTTCAGGACTGAAAAGAGCCAAAGCATATAACATCTAATTTGGGATTTAAAGAATAACTCCAGACTGTTTTTACATTTTGAATGGTGTGGGAAGAGTAAATCTGTGGCCCCATTAGGGAGATTTTCCATCATGTTCTGTCCTTCTGACCCATTACAAGAAATGGGGCTCTGTCAGGGCAGGAGTTGTGGAACGGACAGGCAGGCCTAATGGCAGGGTCACGCACCGACTGACGACAACCACCACCCACAGACCGGAGTCCCTCAGGGCGCGGAGTCTAAGTCCCAGGCTGCCCTTCACCAGGGCCCCTGATGGTGGGGATGGACTTGATGCAGCCAGGGACCAGGTCGCAGCCCCCGAGACACCCCAGCTGCGGTACAGGCTGCCACCAATGGCGTGTAGCTGGTAGGAACCAGATAAGACAATAGCGTAGTCAGACAGACCAGGTCGATAACAACGGGACAGACAGTACAGAACGGTAGACAAAAATAACAGGTCACAAGCCGGGTTCAGCAATGGGAGGTCAGATAAAAGGATAACGCAGATAATAGTCTAGTCAAAAGCTGAGTTAGTTTCCAGTAGAGCCACGAGAGTAGAAACAGAACTTGTTACAACACGAACATACAAGACACGAATGCAAAGAGCACGTGCAGACAACAGGCTTATATGTGATCAACCACACCCCTCTGGGGGATGGACTGCAGAGGTCTGAATTCATAAAAGACTCCCACCACGCTCTGCAGAAACCCAAGATGGATGCCAGCACATGAAGCAGCATAACCTCTGGGAAAAGGTAGGACCTTGACAGGCTCACAGAGATATGCAAAAAAAATTCAAACTTTTTACTTTTGTGCCTATATTGTAGAGATTTCTCTTCACCTGTCCTGACAGGAAGCAACATACAGAAAGAAAATTAGAAGTTGACAGAGGCACTAACCTTTCCTCATTCTATTCAAATTAAAATGAAAAAAAAAGTTTAGGTTGGAATTTAGCTTTTGCATACACATATTTTACCTTACAATTTGAAGCATAGTTATTTCCATTTTACAATGTTCATGTCTACTTGCTATTGTGATGCTTTTGTAAAGATGTCCTTCATCATGTTGGAAGGGCACTTAACAAGGTGGGACAACTTTATTCCCCAGTTCTAAAGTAAAACGTGTAAACCAGGCCATAGAAAAGTGTTTGGAGTGAGCACTGGGACAATCAGTTTTATCACAAGAAGAAAGTTAGATTTGACCCAGATCAGCAATGACATTCTCCTTGTACAGACAGAAATCTCTCTGTATTTCCTCTTTGTATTCATAACCTATGCTGATTAAATAATTTCAGCTTACAGGTTTTTCTTCTTTTTGTAGCTTGAATAAGGAGTAATGAGCGAGAGGAGGTGCAACTGAGCAGAACATAGATGACATTGAAATCACAGAGGGCGTCAGTCTGCCACAGTTTCCACAATCACAGTTGGCAGATTTTTTTTTCTTTACTGAATTTAATTGCAGCTCTCATTGTTCGAAGAACATTTTGGCTTGTAGTGGCCTTACATTTCCTTTCTAGAGAGAATCAAAGCAGAAATAATTGAACTAACTTAGTAAGAGGAATTAAAAGATCAGCTGGGTATAACCCTGTGCAAAATAATGCAATGAGGCAAATTAGCAATACACAAAAAATTCAACAAGTACAAAAAAAGTTTTCCTATCAACATATCAATTTAAGCTGATCTCTTGTCTAAAGAAGTATTTACCCCTGCAGTGAGGTCCCTTTCATATAGAAAGGGTTAAATGGCCATTTTGACTAGAGGATGATAAATTAGGTGAATAACTTGCCTTATTCCTTGCTCTCCTGGCAGTAGACAATCTCCTACCTCTGATGCGGATGTAGGCTGTCTTTGGTACTGTTGGGTTCTTCTGATCTACGCAAGCCGCTGTGAGAGGGATCACTCACCCTGCACATAAGGTTCATTTGCTGTGTCATGCCCATCAATGCCCTGGGACCGCTTTTAGGGAAAGTTGACCTTAGTCAATGTACACCTTAATTGTAACTGCTGCATTTGAGAGGGACATGCTGAGCCTATGCCCACTCCACTCGTCCAGCATACCTCTTCCACCTCACTCCCAGTGACAGGTACGGACCTCATGCGTGTACTTAATTCTTTTTGCTCTTTTGTACCTGATAGCTAGGCTGAGGGCTTTTGTGCAACTGATCTGCTCCCTTTGCTATGGAAGATGGCCTGCTAGTGAGGGAGCCCGAGAAGCCATCCCTCACTACTGGAGGACACCTCACCTACCACATGCTTCATGGCAGGCTGCATGTACTGGCTACTTGCCTCTAGTTACTCTTGACAACCACTTCCTTCTCTTCTATGTTAACTCCCAATGAGGCAGACTTTATACCCCAATGTGCTTTAGCTGATCCAAGCTTCACATGTCCCTGTAGAGTGTGCCCATTAGTTTCATACACCCCTTATAAATAACTTCAGACTAGGCAGGACAATGTTTCAAAGGCTTTACTGCAAAACATCAGCCTAACAGTTCAAACAGAACAATAAGTCTTTCTCTAACTGACTATCTGTGGCTGCCCCAGCATACTGGCACATGTGGAATCTATAAGAGGTAAGTCCAAGATGGCAGTAGTCCATAATGATGGTGTCCTGATGAGTCGGTGTGCTCAGGGAGGACTACACATCCCAGTGAATCCCTCCCATGGTGGTGCTACTGTGACTTCCAGGGAATTCTCTTGAGACCCTCTCTCTCCTTCCTGACCTCTGACCTCTCTGGGATTCAAGCACCTCACCTTTTTTAAACACACAGGACAGGAGGGTTGGACCCAGAAAAGCCCACAAACCAAGCCCTGGGAAGGTGGCAAAAGCATTAACCCCTTTCCCCCTTGCTAAGGTGGCCAAAACTAACTAGCTTGCATGAGGCAACCTGCCTACACAAGCTCTTAGTGTTCTCAAATATAATGTGCCCCACTGGTCCTGCATTTCACATGTTGACATTGGAGTGCTGCAATTGGTCAGGCAGCGAGGAGGAATAGCTTTAGAGGGAAACTAAACAATGGGTTGTCTTACTCATTTAAAACCTTCCACTTAAAGGCGGAATCCAGCCCAGGTGGATGCTGATTGATAAGCCAAACCACACTTCCAAACCAAACAGTAAAAGCATTACAAAACAGATAGTGACAAACAATAACATCAATATCAACATAGCATTAATGTTTCAAAACAATACATTTATGTCTGTCCTAAGAAAGATGCCAAGCAGTGAAAGGTGGGACTGGAAAGAAATAAAATATTAGTAACAACCAGATCACCAAATGGTACATGTAGATTTCATTTTACAAACAAGTTAATATCACATCTTAAATTCATACCACTACATGTTACGCTTATGAATTCACCAAGTTTCTTCCACTAGGAGAAGCCTATATAGGTCACCACCCCTGGCAAGCCTTTTAACTTTTTCAATACTGCAAAAGCTAAAGCCTGACATGTCACCGCTGTGTACCTCTCTAAAATGTTTAGAAACCGATGATATCTGGGGTGTATTCACATAAATGCTGTCACAAAAATGTTCATTGATTCTAATTTTCAATGGATGTATAGTACATCGTACAGGTTGTATTGTATACTGAACATTTCATGCATTGTACCCCGTGGGCCACATATCTTGCATTATAGTTGATATATTGTCTGATAGGAAAGATTTCCCCAGTAGAGAAGGGTGTGATTTGTTTGATTTTGGTATGCTATCTACAGTATCTGCAGGAGCTCATACCCCATATGTGACCACATAGCTAACTCATTGAAAAAAAAAATGCTGCCTGCTGACGCATGTCTGCTTCCAACCAAATGAAAGGTCCAGTGAATGACAGCTGGTATTTAAAAGGTGCTGGGGTTCTCGAGTGATATAATTGACCATAAATGGACATGACCATATTTGGTCAGTGATTTTTCTGGGATGGCTGTAATGTCATTGACCTAATGTGTTCAACTTGTGTTCGGACTGAATCTTAGGCTCATTCCTAGAGCTGAAAGCCATTCAGCAGCTTCTCCTCGGTAAAAGGGGTCATGGGCACCAAAGCCAGCATACAACATGCATACTTTCACTAGTGAAAATTACCATGAACATGCGTATGAATGCAAGTACAAGTGCCTATTACTATAAGCTTGCATATTGTTCTAATTTGTTTCTACTCTATCTCAAATGAAATGGTATTTTCCTGGATTCCCTTGTAAAAGTAAACACTCATGATATGTTTTGATGACCATAACCAGCACAACCTCTAAAGTGCCCTTCACAACATTTTCACAATATGTGTTGTAATATAAAGCATATGTACTCTACATAATAGAAGTAACCAACATGGAAAAAAAAAAAATTATTATATTTATTATAATTAGAGATGAGCGAAGTATTCAAAAATTCGATTCGGCTGATTCGCCGAATTCGCGGAATAAATTCGATTCGAGTCGAATATATTCGCTGCGAATTTAACTTATAAAAAGGGTGTTTCTAGGCTTCAGAGAGCCTTTATATTAGTGCAGAACACTGTACCTTTAATTTAAATGCCCTTGGAGTCTGCTGGGGAAGAGAAATAATACTGTCAGTCAGTATGACATGCAGATGAGTGCCGTCGATCTTAGAATCACCGCACACTTCACTCATTTGGGCAGTCACGGGGCCAAAACCAGAGTGTGGAGCCACAGTGTGGCGGTGGAGGCAGCAGCAATGGGAGGCCATACAGCACCCTATGACAAAATGGAACCCACCAGCAGTGTGAGGAGACCTGAAAGTGGCACATGGCAAAGTGTGGCGATGGAGACAGCAGCAATGGGAGGCCGTACAGGGACCCATGACACACTCTGGACCTGGCAGCAGCATGAGGAGGCGGTACAGGGGCCCATAACAGATTACGGGCCTGGCAGCAGCATGAGGAGTCGGTACGGGGGCCCATGGCATATTACGGGCCTGGCAGCAGCAAAGGGAGGCCATACAGCACCCTATGACAAAATGGAACCCACTAGCAGTGTGAGGAGACCTGAAAGTGGCACATGGCAGAGTGTGGCGATGGAGACAGCAGCAATGGGAGGCCGTACAGGGACCCATGACACACTCTGGACCTGGCAGCAGCATGAGGAGGCGGTACAGGGGCCCATGACAGATTACGGGCCTGGCAGCAGCATGAGGAGTCGGTACGGGGGCCCGTGGCAGATTACGGGCCTGGCAGCAGCAATGGGAGGCCATACAGCACCCTATGACAAAATGGAACCCACCAGCAGTGTGAGGAGACCTGAAAGTGGCACATGGCAGAGTGTGGCGATGGAGACAGCAGCAATGGGAGGCCGTACAGGGACCCATGACACACTCTGGACCTGGCAGCAGCATGAGGAGGCGGTACAGGGGCCCATGACAGATTACGGGCCTGGCAGCAGTATGAGGAGTCGGTACGGGGGCCCGTGGCAGATTACGGACCTGGCAGCAGCAATGGGAGGCCATACAGCACCCTATGACAAAATGGAACCCACCAGCAGGGTGAGGAGACCTGAAAGTGGCACATGGCAGAGTGTGGCGATGGAGACAGCAGCAATGGGAGGCCGTACAGGGACCCATGACACACTCTGGACCTGGCAGCAGCATGAGGAGGCGGTACAGGGGCCCATGACAGATTACGGGCCTGGCAGCAGCATGAGGAGTCGGTACGGGGGCCCGTGGCAGATTACGGGCCTGGCAGCAGCAATGGGAGGCCATACAGCACCCTATGACAAAATGGAACCCACCAGCAGTGTGAGGAGACCTGAAAGTGGCACATGGCAGAGTGTGGCGATGGAGACAGCAGCAATTGGAGAGGCCGTACAGGGACCCATGACACACTCTGGACCTGGCAGCAGCATGAGGAGGCGGTACAGGGGCCCATGACAGATTACGGGCCTGGCAGCAGAAAAGGGAGGCCATACAGCACTCTATGACAAAATGGAACCCACTAGCAGTGTGAGGAGACCTGAAAGTGGCACATGGCAGAGTGTGGCGATGGAGACAGCAGCAATGGGAGGCCGTACAGGGACCCATGACACACTCTGGACCTGGCAGCAGCATGAGGAGGCGGTACAGGGGCCCATGACAGATTACGGGCCTGGCAGCAGCATGAGGAGTCGGTACGGGGGCCCGTGGCAGATTACGGGCCTGGCAGCAGCAATGGGAGGCCATACACAGCACCCTATGACAAAATGGAACCCACCAGCAGTGTGAGGAGACCTGAAAGTGGCACATGGCAGAGTGCGGCGATGGAGACAGCAGCAATGGGAGGCCGTACAGGGACCCATGACACACTCTGGACCTGGCAGCAGCATGAGGAGGCAGTACAGGGGCCCATGACAGATTACGGGCCTGGCAACAGCATGAGGAGTCGGTACGGGGGCCCGTGGCAGATTACGGGCCTGGCAGCAGCAATGGGAGGCCATACAGCACCCTATGACAAAATGGAACCCACCAGCAGTGTGAGAGACCTGAAAGTGGCACATGGCAAAGTGTGGCGATGGAGACAGCAGCAATGGGAGGCCGTACAGGGACCCATGACACACTCTGGACCTGGCAGCAGCATGAGGAGGCGGTACAGGGGCCCATGACAGATTACGGGCCTGGCAGCAGCATGAGGAGTCGGTACGGGGGCCCGTGGCAGATCACGGGCCTGGCAGCAGCAATGGGAGGCCATACAGCACCTATGACAAAATGGAACCCACCAGCAGTGTGAGGAGACCTGAAAGTGGCACATGGCAGAGTGTGGCGATGGAGACAGCAGCAATGGGAGGCCGTACAGGGACCCATGACACACTCTGGACCTGGCAGCAGCAGCATGAGGAGGCGGTACAGGGGCCCATGACAGATTACGGGCCTGGCAGCAGCATGAGGAGTCGGTACGGGGGCCCGTGGCAGATTACGGGCCTGGCAGCAGCAATGGGAGGCCATACAGCACCCTATGACAAAATGGAACCCACCAGCAGTGTGAGGAGACCTGAAAGTGGCACATGGCAGAGTGCGGCGATGGAGACAGCAGCAATGGGAGGCCGTACAGGGACCCATGACACACTCTGGACCTGGCAGCAGCATGAGGAGGCAGGTACAGGGGCCCATGACAGATTACGGGCCTGGCAACAGCATGAGGAGTCGGTACGGGGGCCCGTGGCAGATTACGGGCCTGGCAGCAGCAATGGGAGGCCATACACAGCACCCTATGACAAAATGGAACCCACCAGCAGTGTGAGGAGACCTGAAAGTGGCACATGGCAAGTGTGGCGATGGAGACAGCAGCAATGGGAGGCCGTACAGGGACCCATGACACACTCTGGACCTGGCAGCAGCATGAGGGAGGCGGTACAGGGGCCCATGACAGATTACGGGCCTGGCAGCAGCATGAGGAGTCGGTACGGGGGCCCGTGGCAGATCACGGGCCTGGCAGCAGCAATGGGAGGCCATACAGCACCCTATGACAAAATGGAACCCACCAGCAGTGTGAGGAGACCTGAAAGTGGCACATGGCAGAGTGTGGCGATGGAGACAGCAGCAATTGGAGGCCGTACAGGGACCCATGACACACTCTGGACCTGGCAGCAGCATGAGGAGGCGGTACAGGGGCCCATGACAGATTACGGGCCTGGCAGCAGCATGAGGAGTCGGTACGGGGGCCCGTGGCAGATTACGGGCCTGGCAGCAGCAATGGGAGGCCATACAGCACCCTATGACAAAATGGAACCCACCAGCAGTGTGAGGAGACCTGAAAGTGGCACATGGCAGAGTGTGGCGATGGAGACAGCAGCAATGGGAGGCCGTACAGGGACCCATGACACACTCTGGACCTGGCAGCAGCATGAGGAGGAGGCGGTACAGGGGCCCATGACAGATTACGGGCCTGGCAGCAGCATGAGGAGTCGGTAAAGGGGGCCCATGGCAGATTACGGGCCTGGCAGCAGCATGAGGAGGCGGTACAGGGGCCCATGGCAGAGTGGCGGAGCGTAAGCTGCTAAAATTGCAAGGCCATACAGAGGCCTATGTTAAAAAGTCCCCCCAGCAGCAGCGTGGGGAGATGACTAATAGTCGTCTGGCCCCACGCTGCTGCATGGGACTTTTTAACATAGGCCTCTGTATGGCCTTCAATTTAAGCTGCACGCTTCGCCACTCTGCCCCATGGGCCCCTGTGGAACCGCCTCCTCTTGCTGCTGCCAGGTCCAGAGTGTGTGTCATGGGTCCCTGTACGGCCTCCCATTGCTGCTGACTTCATCGCCAGACTCTGCCATGTGCCACTTTCAGGTCTCCTTACACTGTTGGTGGGTTCCATTTTGTGATAGGGTGCTGTATGGCCTTCCATTGCTGCTGCCTCCACCGCCACCCTGCGCCATGTGCCTCTGTCGTCTGCTCACACTGCTGACGGCTTCCGCTTTTTAACCGAGGCCTGTGTTTGGCTTCCGAATACTGCTGCATCCACCGCCACCCTGCGCCATGTGCCTCTGTCGTCTGCTCACGCTGCTGACGGCTTCCGCTTTTTAACCTAGGCCTGTGTATGGCTTCAGAATAATGCTGCCTACACCGCCACCCTGCGCCATGTGCCTCTGTCGTCTGCTCACGCTGCTGCCAGGTCCATACTGATTCATGACCCCCTGTACCGGCTCCTCATGAACGTGGTTCAGCGGGTTTGCATCACTTAACGGCAAATCGTTGCCAAACGCTGGGACGTTCAGTGTGTGTGCGCGCATTAAGCCAGACACCAAAGGGCAGCACAGACCTGTTATTACTCGCTCAAGCATGGCTGAACAAAACCAGTCTCTACCACAAATTGGACCCAGACCTGCCCAGGGTCTCGTAAGTAGATTGCACGGAGGAGTAGAGTTCGTTATTGGAATTAACTGTGAGGGACTTTTAAACCTAGGCCTGTGTATGGCCTTCAATTGAAGCTGCTTCTGCTCCGCTCCCCACTCTGCCATTGGACTCTTGATAGTCGTCGACTATCAAGAGTCCAATGGCAGAGTGGCGGAGCACAGTTCATGAGGAGCCGGTACAGGGGGCCATGAATCAGTATGGACCTGGCAGCAGCGTGAGCAGACGACAGAGGCACATGGCGCAGGGTGGCGGTGGAGGAGGCAGCAGCAATGGAAGGCCATACAGCACCCTATCACAAAATGGAACCCACCAACAGTGTAAGGAGACCTGAAAGTGGCACATGGCAGAGTCTGGCGATGAAGTCAGCAGCAATGGGAGGCCGTACAGGGACCCATGACACACTCTGGACCTGGCAGCAGCAAGAGGAGGCGGTACAGGGGCCCATGGCAGAGTGGCGAAGCGTAAGCAGCTTAAATTGAAGGCCATACAGAGGCCTATGTTAAAAATAATAACATGTTTGGGGCATGATTCATGGGCGGATTTAGTCAGTTGTGTCAGGAACTGGTGGTTTGAAATCCAGACTAATCCACGCCTGATTCATTTTCACAAACGTGAGTCTCTCCACACTTTGGGTGGACAGTCGTGTCCTCCGCGGAGTTACAATACCTCCTGCCGCACTAAACACGCGCTCCGATGCCACGCTACTGGCCGGGCATGACAGCCTTTCAAGGGCAAATTCAGCTAGTTGGGGCCAAAGGTCAAGTTTCGTTGCCCAGTAGTCAAGGGGATTGTCTACCTCGGTTGGCAGGGTGCTGTCCAAGTAGGCCCGAGCCTGTTGTTTGAGGTCCTGCTCCAGGTCCACCTGATGCTGCTGCTGCTGCGGCTGGTTAGTAGTTTTCCTCACTGCGCTGGTGAAGAAAGCTACTCATCATCGACTGCAGACTGAGGCAGCCGCTGCTGGTGGAGCTGCCACTGCTCCTACCACCCCACCCCTCCCCTGCTGCCATGGCAGCGGAACGCGAGCGCACAGGGCCCACAGTGTCTGAGGATGGACGTTGGCGCAGAAAGGCAGAGACCAACTGACTACATAGGTGGTTTTTATAGTACTTTATTTTGGCCTCCCTCTCAGCAGGTGTGAAAAAGGCCACCATTTTTGAACGGTAGCGAGGGTCCAACAAGGTGGACAGCCAAAAGTCATCCCTCTGTCTGATGGTTATTATTCGGCTGTCGCTACGCAAGCAACCGAGCATGCTATGGGCCATTTGTGCCAAGGAATGCGAGGGACTCCCTGCCTCCATCTCCACAGCATACTGCCACGGTGCGTCTGGGTCCTCTGTCCTCCTCCTCCTCCTCTACCAGATGCTCCTGCTGCTCCTCCACTCCTGTCCGCTGAGTGGAAAAACCACCCATTTCACTCAATAATTCCTGAGCACCAATGTCCTCCTCTACCTCCTCCTCTTCTTCCTGTCCTGCCCCCACAGGGGTCATGTGGCGTTGAGATCTGTGCGCCACGTCTACCGCACCCTGACCAGCCATTGTTAACAGCATTTGTTCCAGGACGTGCAACAGAGGAATGACGTCGTTCATCCCATAGTCCTGCCGACTCACGAATAGCGTGGCCTCCTCAAAGGGCCTGAGCAAGCGGCAGGTGTCACGCATGAGCTGCCAATGGCTGACATCTAAGTTACACAGGGGAGTACCTTTATCCGCTTGTAACATCAGGAAATCGGTGATGGCCTTTCGCTGTTCGTAAAGGCGGTCTAACATATGTAGGGTTGAATTCCACCTTGTTGCAACGTCGCAGATCAGGCGATGCTGTGGAATTCCGTTCTGCTGCAGCTCAAGGAGGGTGTGCTTTGCGGTGTAGGAATGGCTGAAATGCATGCAAAGTTTACGTGACATTTTAAGGATGTCTTGCAGTGGGATGGTGGATTTTAGGAACCGCTTGACAACCAGATTGAACACGTGAGCCATGCATGGCGCATGGCACAACCTTCCTTGACGCAGAGCAGACACCATGTGTTCTTTCCGTTGTCGGTCAACATGGTTCCGATTTTCAGTTTGCGCGGAGACAGCCATCTGTCGATTTCTCTGTTCATTACACTCAGAAGTTCCTCCCCTGTGTGACTACGTTCGCCAAGGCATACCAGGTGCAGCACAGCGTGACACCGTTGCGCCCTGCACATGTGATATGCCGGTCGGGTAATGGGACTTGGCACGGGGGTGGCGGCTGAGGACACGGCGGAAGAAGAGGTGGTAGAGGCGGACATCTTTGCTGGACCAAGGACGTGCAAACGTGGAGGCAAAAGCGGCGTGACCTGTCCAAGTTGCTGGTGCGGCTGTGCCGGCACCACGTTCACCCAGTGGGCCGTAAATGACATGTACTGTCCCTGACCGTAGTTACAGCTCCACACGTCGGCGCTGCCGTGCACTTTGGCAGAGACCGACATGCTCAAAGACTGGCCCACCATCTCTTCTACATGTGAATGCAGGGCTGGCACTGCCTTTTTTGGCGAAGAAATGCCGGCTTGGCACTCTCCACCGCGGCTCGGCACAAGCCATCATTTCTCGGAAAGGTGCTGAGTCCACCACTTGGAAAGGGAGGGACTGCAGCACCAGCAACTTGGACAGGAGGACGTTCAGCTTCTGCACCGTCGGGTGCGTGCTCGCAAACTGTTGTCTCTTGGAAACGGATTCCAAGAAAGACTGCTGACGGAATCCGTGAAGAGGAGTAGCAGGAGAAGGAGCATCTGAACGAGCGGAAGATGCCAACGAGCGACAACTCCCCTCAGCAGAGGTGTTGGAGCCTTGACTGGCTGATAGAGGGCGATTGACGTCGGGGTGACGGAGCAAGTAACGGAGCGGGTGATGGAGCGGGGGCTGGGGCAGGCAGAACCGCCGTATCTTTATCACGGTTTTCCCAGGCCACCGAATGGCGACGCTGCATATGCTGACGCAACGCTGTAGTCCCAACATGGGCCCCCTGGCCACGCTTGACTTTCTGGCCACATAGTCGACATACGGCTACGTTTACTTCCTCGGGCGGCTTGACGAAAAATTGCCACACCGCCGAGTAGGAAACTTTGCCCCCGCTACTCCTTACTGGCTGACTGCTACTTCCTCCGTGCACACCGGCACCACTACTGGCCGTGGTGGTAGGCTGCAGTGGAGCTGGTGCTCTACTCCGTGGCCGTTGGCCTCCACTGACACTGCTGCGACCCTGCTGCCTCCTGGGCAACCCACCGACTGTTTTGCTCGCTGCCAAGCTGGCACCCTCTTCTCCTGATGATGCGGAAGCAATAGCCTGATGACGACGAGGCTGCCAAGTGCGATCAGCCTCATCATCATCAATTAGGGTCTCCGCCTCACTACTAGCCCCCTCGGCTGCGTGTGGGTCAGGAGACAGACCTGTCTCTAGACCGGCTACCGAGCCACTCTCCTCGCCAGTACTTCTTCGCCTGGCTGCTGAAGAGGCGGATGTCTCCCCCCGTTCCTGACCGCCCTCTGTTAGCTCTTCCTCACTGTACAGTGGGGCTGAGCCCACAGCATGCGATACTTCGCTTGGTGAGGGAACACCAAAGGACAGGGGCAGGTAGAGGACACGTGATTTCAGTGGGCTTGCTCCCGGGCCATGCCAACTAACGGTTGTGTCTGACGTACCCACCGACCGTTGGCTGTAGGTGTCAGAGGTGACCTGGGAAGAGGAGAGATGACCGAGCCAACCAATCGATGACGGCAGGGTTGTCGGTGGAGACACGACCGCTGGATGACACCGGGAGCACTGGCCTCTGGCTGCGACTAGTGCCACTCCTCTGCGTGTTGTCTGACATACTCTCAACGATTCTGTGTCCCTGAGTAACGATTCTGTGTGCTGCCTCGACCCCTTCCTCTGCTGCCACGTCTGCTCGCTCCTGAAACATTGCCTCCTCTGTCACTCCTCTGCGTGTTGTCTGACATACTCTTTAATTGAATAAGCACTCCAAAAATAACGTAACGATTCTGTGTCCCTGAGTAACAATTCTGTGTCCCTGAGTAACAATTCTGTGTCCCTGAGTAACGATTCTGTGTCCCTGAGTAACGATTCTGTGTCCCTCAGTAACGATTCTGTGTCCCTCAGTAACAATTCTGTGTCCCTGAGTAACAATTCTGTGTCCCTGAGTAACGATTCTGTGTCCCTGAGTAACGATTCTGTGTCCCTGAGTAACAATTCTGTGTCCCTGAGTAACAATTCTGTGTAAATTCTGTGTCCCTGAGTAACGATTCTGTGTCCCTGAGTAACAATTCTGTGTCCCTGAGTAACAATTCTGTGTCCCTGAGTAACGATTCTGTGTCCCTCAGTAATGATTCTGTGTCCCTGAGTAACGATTCTGTGTCCCTGAGTAACAATTCTGTGTCCCTGAGTAACGATTCTGTGTCCCTCAGTAACGATTCTGTGTCCCTGAGTAACAATTCTGTGTCCCTCAGTAACGATTCTGTGTCCCTCAGTAACGATTCTGTGTCCCTGAGTAACAATTCTGTGTCCCTGAGTAACGATTCTGTGTCCCTCAGTAACGATTCTGTGTCCCTGAGTAACGATTCTGTGTCCCTCAGTAACAATTCTGTGTCCCTGAGTAACGATTCTGTGTCCCTGAGTAACAATTCTGTGTCCCTGAGTAACAATTCTGTGTCCCTGAGTAACGATTCTGTGTCCCTCAGTAACAGTTCTGTGTCCCTGAGTAACAATTCTGTGTCTGTCCCTGAGTAACAATTCTGTGTCCCTGAGTAACAATTCTGTGTCCCTGAGTAACGATTCTGTGTCCCTCAGTAACAATTCTGTGTCCCTGAGTAACAATTCTGTGTCTGTCCCTGAGTAACAATTCTGTGTCCCTGAGTAACAATTCTGTGTCCCTGAGTAACGATTCTGTGTCCCTGAGTAACAATTCTGTGTCCCTGAGTAACGATTCTGTGTCCCTGAGTAACAATTCTGTGTCCCTGAGTAACAATTCTGTGTCTGTCCCTGAGTAACGATTCTGTGTCTGTCCCTGAGTAACGATTCTGTGTCCCTGAGTAATGATTCTGTGTCCCTCAGTAATGATTCTGTGTCCCTGAGTAACGATTCTGTGTCCCTCAGTAACAATTCTGTGTCCCTGAGTAACGATTCTGTGTCCCTGAGTAACTATTCTGTGTCCCTGAGTAACGATTCTGTGTCCCTGAGTAACGATTCTGTGTCCCTCAGTAACAATTCTGTGTCCCTGAGTAACAATTCTGTGTCCCTCAGTAACGATTCTGTGTCCCTCAGTAACGATTCTGTGTCCCTGAGTAACAATTCTGTGTCCCTGAGTAACGATTCTGTGTCCCTGAGTAACAATTCTGTGTCCCTGAGTAACAATTCTGTGTCCCTGAGTAACAATTCTGTGTCCCTGAGTAACGATTCTGTGTCCCTGA